GATTGTTCACTTTTTTCTTTTGAGTGACGGTCTGATCATCTCTCAGTTTGGATACTAAATCACCTTTGGAGTGGATTTTCAGCTTTGCAGAACATCATCTGTTGGAGTTCATCCCTCATTTCTTCAGTGTTGCTGTCACCATATTAATTATTGCTCCCAGAGTAATAAGTGCTATATGCTGGTTTTTTCAACAATCAGCATATTACTCTGGTGAGTTTTATTTAACCATTTTTGGTGGTGGATTCACTTGGTGATTAATTATTGTGGACATTATTGATTATTTGAACGTTTGGACTTTTTTCTTTTTTGCTGGATTTCACTTTGATTTAAAATATTGTTTTTTATTGTTTTGTCACATCTTTTGTTACACTTTTGTATGTATTTAAGTGCAACCTATTTTTTTTAACTTCTGGGTAGGGCATGCGTGCGCACCGCTGTTGTGCCAGCTGTGCTGTGATTAGTCACAGCACAAGCGGACCAATGGGTTCCGGCCAATGATTGACCGCCTGCACCTTCTGATCAGTGAGGAGGAAAACAGGGCAGAGCTCTGTCAATGTCAACAATACAGAGCTCTGTCCTGTTAGTAAGGATGTGCCATCGCTTCCCTTAGTGAAAGCACCTCACAGTACACATGTAAACACAGGTTAGGCACACATTTAACCCTTTGATCGCCCTAGATGTTTAACCCCATTCCCAGCCAGTGTCATCAGTACAGATACAGGTGTCCGTTTATGGACCAGCGGTAATAGATCACTGCTCAGTTCTCCGGCATTCTCGGAGAACACAGTTCTCCTGTGAATGCAGTTTATGAAGCAATTCTCCGAACGAAGGGAGAACGGTCTCCAAACGCTGGAGAACGGTCTACAAACTCTGGAAAACATCTCATTTTACTATAATCTCGAGAGATTACAGTAAAAGATCAGTTTACTAAACAGAGGTAAATTATCTCTGCTTAGTTTTCGGTCCCTCTGATTCTCCAGCTCTGGGCTGGAGAATCTGGAGGGCGAACACAGATCTCCAGAGAAGGGCTGACATGATCTCCTGAGTGTCATAAACTGTGAATGACCAGAGAATAGCTGAGATCTGTTGAATCGCAGCTATTCTCTGTGTCATAAACGGACACCACAGTGTATATTTTTAGCACTGATCACTGTTCCCACAAAATCTTAAAAGTGGAAATTAGTGTCAAATTGCCTGCCATACTATCATAGTCCCGCTATAAGTCACCAATTGCCACCATAAGTAGAATCGAAAAAAAAAAAACATTCCAATATATATACCATAGTTTGTAGATGCTATCATTTTCACGCAAACCAATCAATGTACACTTATTGGGGGTTTTTTTAACCAAAAATATGTAGCAGAATACGTTTCGGCCAAAATATATGAAGAAATTTGATTTTTATTCATTTTTATTGGATATGTTTTATAGCAGAAAGTAAAAAAATTTTTTTTTTTTTTTTTTGGTATTTTTTCATTTATAGCGTAAAAAAATAATAAAAAAAGTTGTGATCAAAGACCACCAAAAGAAAGCTCTAATTGTGTGAAAAAGAAATTATCTAAATTTCATTTGTGCACAGCGTTGCATGACCACGTAATTGTCAGTTAAAGTAACGCAGTGCCAAAAAGCAAAAAAATGGCCTGGTCATGAAGGGGGGGGGGGGGGGGGGGGGGGGAAATCTTCCTGAGGTCAAGTGGTTAAAGCCCAATTCCAGGAAAAGTCCTCCCTTGCAGTGGGGTTTCACCTGCACTGCAAAGGTTGCTTAGATTGTTTGTGTAAAGGGATGTTAAAACCACTTTACTTACCTCATACTCTGCTACCCCAGCAAACTGTGCTCCCCTATGTCCTGACAGTTGACTGTCCCTATCAGGGGCGGACTGACAAATCATGGGGCCCCCGGGCAATAGGGGATCATGGGGCCCCTGTGTCCTCGCCCGCACTCAAACCACACCCAAAAAAGCCTATGAAAGGTACCAGGGGCATCTCATGGGGCCCCCTACTGACCCCGGGCCCTTGGGCAGTGCTCGAGTTCCCAAATGGTTAATGGTTAGTCCACCCCTGGTCCCTATGTCCTCAGGTCCTGTGCTGGTCCCTGCATCAGTCTTGATGATGCAGGGACCAGCACAGGACCCTGCATCATCAAGACTGATGTAGAGACCAGCACAGAACCCTGCATCAGTCCTGATGATGTCATGGGCGACTGAGCACAGGGGTGAAGGGGAGAAGAGGCTATGGTGACTGGTCCTCCTCTGTAAAAGAGCATGCGGAAGCAGAGTTTTTGAGTAATTAAAACTGCTTTAACTGGTCTCTTGGATGTAAAGGAACTGTTAATCCTTGCAGTGTGAGCACAGCCACACTAAAAGGGAGAACTTTTGCTTTTCCCAGAGTTTAGCTTTAAATTTTGCACACACAATTGTACTTTTTTTTCAGCTATAGCCAGAAGTTTTAAACACTAGAATTATCAAATGCATTTTGTTACCCCAGTCATCAATTGTCAACAGGCAATTGAGTAATTTTAACTACAGTCACTTTAAAATGTAATTAATCTATATTGCTGCAATATATTCTTTCATCTGATAGGGTTGAAACATTTGTGTGCAATAACCACACAGTGTTTTGCTAAAGAAGTAAAGCCATTTTGAACTCCGCAGAAATAGATTTCTTGGTGATATTTTAAGTAGAAGCATGTAATTCACCCATACAGACAGCTGAATCCCTTCAGAAGGGTACAGTGCCTATAAATCAGACAGACATAGTAATTTATGGGTTTCCAATACTATGTGATTTCAGAAATATTTTCAAGAATCTGAACAAAAGTTCACAAGTGAAATAATATAGCACATTCTAGTGTGTAACTGTAAAAACTGCCTTATATATAGGTTGCAGGGTTTACTAGCCCTTACATAATATTACACAATGTACTAAAGTCATGTACTGTACTCTATGTTTAGATAAGACTCTTGACTTCCTCTGTAGCTTGTATTGTGATTAATTTATCTGTCATATAATCCCCTAAAGAAACAGAGATTATTCTGTTTGTGTGGAGAAGGGAAGAGAAGCATGTTTCATAGCACGGTGAACTTCTTAGATTCGGAAAATCCTTAATTTATACTATGCACCAAAGTATTATTTTCAGCATCCAAATGAATCGGTTATTCTATCATTATCTTTATTTGGTTTATGACAGCAACCTTGACAATGTGCGGCAGAGTAATTTCAACTCCAGACACTATTGTTTGTTAGCATTGTAAACAAAACAATTACTATAAAATAACAAATGTAGTTTTTAGTAAATGTGGGGACTGCTGTATTCATTTTGACAACAGTTTGTTTGGGGTGAGTGGATTGTCCTGGATTCAGTTTATGATTAATTAATTAAACTCATCATAAAGTCTAAAAATTGAAAACTTTATTTCAACCGCTATTGAAATGCATGGGGTGTATGTGGGGGTGGGGTATCTTACAAATCATTTCTGGCCATTTTCAAAACTAATAAGCAAGGGATATACCCATGCAAAAAATAAATCATAAAAATGTTGTACAGCAGGGGGAGGGGCTTCCCTTTAAAGCAAGTTTGAGGGTGACATGGAAAAAACACCAATACTTTCAATTACAGGTTTGGGGGATTGGAACAGTACAATTGTCATTGATAGTGTCTTATACTATATTCAATTCCCCATTGTGTCTTTTCCCCTATGCTAGCATTGTGTCCACAGTAGCACTTGTGTAGGCAGGGCAGAGTAGGATTGGCCATAGAGGGATTACTTTGACGCGGTTGGCCAGCTTAAGCATGTATTGCAATATGTGTGAACAAAATATCCCTATTTATTGCATAGTCTGCTTGAAAGGGTATATACCAGTGTGCAGAGGGTCCTCAGAATTTCTAGAGTTAATGTGGTTACACCCCTTTAGCACCTGATGGATAAATGCATGCACTAGCTGTATGGATTTGAGCACAGGGATCTCTTGTTTCTTGTTTGTTATACTATATTCAGGCATCACTTATGCGGGATGTGTGATTGAGTTTCTTTTAACTTTTACATTATTCCTTAGCCTAAAGTGGAACTTCACTCTCTCAATCAACATTGATTATTTTGAATCCTTATGTTGCTAGTATTAGTAAATAGATAGGAAAGTATATCATATTTACTTGTTTTAAACTGACATCATTTGCCTAGGCATGAAAACCAAGAAGTAACTAAACAAATGTAAAAACAAACATCTCAGGATGGGAGGAGGGGTTTTCTTAGCTAAGCACGTCCTCCTATCTGCATGCCTGGGATAAGGGTAGATAGATTCCAGGAAGTAACTGCTACATGAATCATCTGCCCTAACTTAAGATGGCCATGGCCAGAAAGTGATTTCTCAGCAAAATAAATTATGGAGACATGCATGGGTGCGTTTGCTTTTAATGTTAAAAATGAATTAAATAGCGCTTTGGTTTGTGGTGCTCATATACAGTGTAGTTCCACTTTAAATAAATCAGAATTACAATTTCTAATAAGCCTGAACTGAACTGTGGAAGCACGAGCCACAACATATTTAAAAGAAAAGTTTAGTCTTACAGAAAAAAAACATATGCTCTCAAACTGATATAAATTGGCTAGTGGCAAAGCAGTTTTATATTACTGTTTGTTACTGTCTTTTTTTTTAGCAGGGCCACACTGCACTGAATTAAAAGTTTAAGTAAACAAAACAGTGTGCACAAAAATATTTCAAAACCACAATCCCATCTTCTCTGAAACCCCTCCCATGCCCATATCCCCAAATAATGCCAAAATAAGAAAAAAATACTTAAAGTGTTACTAAACCCACAACAGTAAAATTAGTCTGTTTATGCAGTAAAGCATGCTTGTTATACTCACTGTGGAACCCAAGGGGTTAATACTCTGCATTGTGTAAAAAGGCCATTTGAGCCTGTCTTTTTTGCTCCTCCTCTTGTTCAAATGTCCTTGTCTTAACTCCTGATATGACATACTGAACTGTAGCCATTCTGCACATGCTCAGTTTGGTGTATATTTCTAGAGAGGTTTTTTTTTCTGGGGAGAGTGTATGTGATCAGCACAGGGCCAATCAACACTGTCCAGACAGAGGTCAGGGGTTCCAGTGCCCCCCTCTTATCTCCTGATAAGACATATTGTGTGGAGTCACTCTACACATGCTCAGTTTGGTGTGTATTGCTAGAGAGACAGAGGCAGGGGTTCTACATCCTACTAGAGCAGAAAGAAAACTCTTACAAACTTTAACCAGTGCTCTGCTGGACACTGATAGAAGTCACAAAACTGCTCTAACTGCTGATGAGAAAAGGTATTAAGCCGTTTTTATTTACTAAAATAATTGCATTTCCATGTAGTGTGTACTGTGGGAGACCAGATATAGTTAATTCAGGGTCCTGGGTTTAGTAACACTTTAAGTTAGATGTTTTAGGATAAATTATCTAGCAACAGGACAGTACATAAGCACATGATTTGATGGAAAAAGAAGAAGATCTGCAGTGTGGGTCTGTTTTAACTCATCCATTGTCAGCTGCCATTGTCATATAATATTTGAACAAAAGTTTATCAAGTACAATTTTTTAGTAAAAAAAAAATGCACTAAAGTTTATTTTTTGGCATATATACAATATATTATCCAGTTTTTGGTAAAATATTAAAAATATGAGGTTGCATGTCCACACACCCATGAAACAGCCACAAACGTCAGTACCCTAAATTTTCCATAGAGGGAGCTTTCAAATCTCCTAGAGGTCATCAGTTTAGAATTAACCATGAATAATAGACTTAGATTGATTTCTCTCTCTCTCTGGCATGCACAGCAAAATAAACTCTTATGCTTCATTTTCCTGATGGTGACTAGATGCCTAATATTAGAGGCATTTTTCCAGGTGGAAATCCTATGGCCATAGGCTGCCCACCCTTTCTCAGTACAGGGGGAAAGACAGGCAGTGACAAATGGAGGTGGAGAATAGTGCTGGCAGTTCGGAGGAGGATTTTTTTTTTTTTTGTGAGGCTTCTAAGGTATCTTTCACCATTTCCTGATGCAAGGGTAAATACTGCCTCCGTCTTAGAGGGAGAACAAAGCTCCCCACTCTAAGAATGTGCTGAAAAGAAGCTCTTTGCCACATTTCATGATGGTGGCTGGATCCATCACACTCTAGGCATAGCTGAAGGGGGGGATACCTAATGGAAAAAGGCTGACCAAACTCTCAAAAGAAGGCTTTGGTTTGATCATTGTTTCTGACACAGGCAACACTTCCCATTGTTTGCAGCTGTCACTCTATATTTCTGCAGAACAGTGGTGTGCTTCAAAGCACCCTCTATTTTGTCCTCCACTTGCGATAACTGCCAATACATTTATTAAATCTGGTATCTGGATCCACCTCACTGGAGGCATAGAAGATGGGGCAAAAACAAAGTGCATAGGCTGGTAACCCTCACCCAAGTTGTCTATGGTTTGACACTTGTACCTGACACAGGCTAAACTGTGCTTTTTGGGCAACATGTCCCTGCATACTTCCAAGTATAAAGAGTAGTGATTACATATGAACACATGAATCAGAGTAGTAAATACATAAATCCAAACAAATTATAGCAACAAATATAAATTAAACTGCACTTGCCTTTAATCAATTGCTGACCACCCACAATACTTTTACTGGGGATGGGCGGCACAGGCAGGCTAGATCACATGCATGGACATCATCTGGCCTGCTCTGGGTTAGGGGGTGCTCAGCATGTTACTCCCACTGTGTCCACACATGTGGGAACAAAGCTTTTATGAATTAATTCATAACTGTTGTGTTTCCTATGCTGTGATTGGCCCACAGCTATCACATGGCACCTGGGCAAATCACAGTACCCTGTACCATAGCCGTTGTCAATCACAGATCACTAGTGATCACAGCTGTCATGAATGCAACCCATTAATGACAATTGAAAACTTTGCTATTACAATGATCTTCATTGTAACAGAAAACAGTGTAAAATAAAATCTCTGATTCCTCCCTCAGAGTATTAGAGTGCTAATACTGTAAAATGCTAATTTTTACATGTAGGAGAGGAATGCCAGAATTGTTCCCGGACTCAAGTGGTTAAAAATATGAAATTCCTTTAAATAACATCTTTGCTGTAAAGCTGTACATGGTTTTACAGAATGTTACAATTCTCAAGGACATTATCAGTGACACTGTATTGTGGTATCACATAAATTGCATATGTAGTAATTTAATTTACTTTACATTCATCAGCTTACATACAGCAATATCAGTCAAATGTAACTGATTTCCTCTTAAAAATGTTTTTATAGGTAGTTTTTGAAAAAGCAACTGATTATAGCTAAAATTTCTTTGAAAGCAATTATTTCACTAAGACTTCGAAAAAATAAAAATAAAGCCATCAACTTCATACAAATTGTCAGTGTCAAAACAATTCACATAGCATAGTGTGTGATTCTCTATTCAGTACCAAACTCAACTGTGAACAAAGGTTAATGAGACATCAGCTTAGAGTACACAAAAATACCTAAATCCACATACCCTATTCCATAGATGAGACAGTTGTTATGCCAAACTAAAAACTAATTACAGGGCCATATTTCAGAGACAACAGCCAAACAATTGGCATATTAACTGCTTAGAATGAAAACAGCTTGATTGGGAACCAGGGCAGCAATGTAGGTCTAGAAAATAGTAATTTTTTACAAAATAACAATTAGGCTTCATGCACACTAGAAAAGCTAAAAACTGCTTTAGAAACACTGGACAAAAAAGGTAAATGTTTTAGCATTTTTGATGGTATTTAGCAGTTTTAGCTTAGTGTGTAAGCTACGTTTAGTAGTTCAGCATTAAGGAGTGAAACTGCCCACATTCTTAACAACCAGTGACTAGCTGGTTGTTAAGGAGCAGGCCGGGAAGCCAGCCACTGTGTCCTTAACAACGGATGAGTCATCAGTTATAATCTATCAGTGGAGTTCCCACTAACAATGAAAAAACAGCATGGGGTCCCTCCCAAAATCTATTACAGACCCTTATCCTAGTATGCAGCCTGGCAGGTCAGGAAAGGGGGGATGAGCAAGCGCTCCCCCCGACCCATACCAAGTCACATGCCCTCAACATGGGGGGTGCTTTCAAGCATGGGGGTTCCCTCCAAAGCACATTGTCCCCATGTTTATGGGGAAAAAGGCCTCTTTCCCACAACCCTGGCCGGTGGTTGTGGGGGTCTGCAGGTAGGGGGCTTAGTGGAATCTGGAAGCCCTCTTTAACAAGGCCCCCCATGTGAATGAGTATGGGGTACATAGTACACCAAGCATTCATCAAAAAAGTTTAAAAGGTAATTAAAAACACAACAGAAGTTTTTGACAAGTCCTTTACTAAAAAAAAAACAAAACAAAAAAAAGGTCCCCCCCCCGGTGTAGATTCATCATCAATCACAACACTCATCGCCAACCCTGACCGAAAAAAAGAACAAGAAAAACTTCAAGTCCCAATTTTTAATAAAGGACTTGTCAAAAATTGCCTCCAGTCTTTTTCTGTTTTGTGAATGACTAATACCCCATAGTCATTTGTTTCACATCGGGGTCCAGGATCTGGGGGACCCCTTCTTAAAGAGGAATTGCATATTCCAATAAGTCCCCTCCGGACCTGCAAACCTACATAACGACCGGTTTCAACCAGGATTGTGTCGAAAAGGCCCTTGTCCCCACCAACATGGAGACAAGGTACTTTGGGGAGGGGCCTTTATGTTGAGGGCATATGGCCTGGTATGATTTCTGGAGGGGGGTGCTTGCTTCCTATAGATATCGTACCTGAGGGGTCCCCTTAAACTACCTGCAAAGTTGCACATCTGTACAATATATAGAATCTGCTGCAGCAGGACTGACATTTTTTTTAAATTACATTTTTGTGAAAAAAAAACTAAAAAAAAAAAAAAAAAAACTGTGGAGTCTCCCCCCTAATCCACACCAGACCCTTTAGGTCTGGTTGGAAGGTTAGGAGGGACCCCACAGTAAAAAAGGTTTTTTTTCTTCTCAGTGTGTGGGGTTCCCCCTAAAAGCCATACCTGGCTCTTTAGGCCTGGTAGGACTTTTAAGGGTAACCCCACCCTCAAAAAATGGGGAATAAAGCATAGGGTTCCCCCCTAAATTCCTACCAGGCCCTTGATCTAATCACAGGCCTGGCAGGGCAGGCTTACCAGGTCATGTGCCCTCAGCATGGGGATAGTGTCCCCATGCCAATGGGGAAAAGGGCCTCTTCCCCCCCCAACCCTAGCCCGGTGGTTGTGGGGGTCTGCGGGCAGAGGAGATCATTCAGCACTTGTACGCCTACCCATTCACTAAAGGGTTACATTTTGTAAAAAATAAAGATGCCAGACTTTTGAAAAATTCCTTTATTGAAGATAAAACAAAACAGTTTTTGACAAGTCCTTTATTTAAAAAAAAGCCAAAAAAATGGTTCCATCATTGTAATCTATCATAAATCATGGAGACCAATGTTGTCATGATGACGCCGACTCACCAAAAAACCAAAAAAAACAAAACAATGCCAGCCGACCAGTCCGCACCTGCCACAATCTGACATTTGCACTTCAAATGTAAACAATTGAGTTGAGCTGGTGGTGATGTTGCCACTAGCTCTGCCCAATTGTGCCGTGATTGGCCAAAGCATTGCACTTGACCTGTGGTCAGGTGAATTGCTTTGGCCAATCACAATGCATTGTCTTGCAATCAAAAAATATATTTTTTTTTTCCCACAGACTAATGAAGGACACATTTTACAAATTTGTTGCATTATTTAATTTATTTCTTTTTAGCTCAACATGCTATTTCTGAGGGAGAGCGCAAGTAGATTGCATCTGGAAATATGGGATTGTTGTTTTATTTTTTTAAGACTGAATGAAGATGGTACATTTTAACAGAATCACACCACAGCTTTTAAGCCTGTTTGGGCAGGCCACTATATGTGAGGCAGAAAGCAAGCAGTTTGCATCTTACTATAATAATCAGGGTTATTTTTCCCCAGATGCTTATCTTAGAGCATGCCTGTATTTTGCTTGCAGGACCTCTGATAAAGTGGAAATTTGATTAAGTGGAGTTAAAAAATGGAGTTTAAAACAGGAGATTATAACAGGAGTCTTCTAACCTGTAAGTGACATCTGATATTTCCTGTTAGTAATATTAATATTGTAATTGGTATAATGAGTACTAGCAAGGTGGAAGGTTTTGTGCAGTGCACAGTGTGCCACATGTATACAACAATGGAGCAATAATGGATGGATACCGCAACGGCAGATGTGATTGGGTTGCCCTTCTGGAAGCTCACATTAGGGATCTGGAGGAGCAAGTTTCAGAACTGACAATCTTGTGACAAAGTGTTACTAAACTCACAATAGCATGCAGTAAAG